GGAGGGGTGAAGAGAGGAGGAACAGGGAGGAGCTGGGGGCGGAGAGAGAGAGAGAGAGAGAGAGAGGAACTGAGACCAAGTGGAGGAGGGGACGGGGACGCGGGGGCGAGGGGAGGAGACTGGCCCAGCGGAGGAAATTCAGAAGGGCCTCAGGGCTAGACTTCTATGGACCGCGAGGGAGCGTGTTGGGGCTGGACGGGGGCAGCCACCTGGGTTCCGTGTCAGGGCTCGGGGTGCTGTGGACGCTCCGGCCGCTGGAATGTCTGGGTTCACAGTCAGCTCACTTCATATTTCTTGTCCTACTCTCCTCCTAGTTCTACTTAATTAAAACCAGGAGGGGGGGCTGAGGTCTCCAGCCGCTGCTTAATGAGGTAGTAATTAACCAGCCAGGGAGGGGAGCTGGCCTCCGGCCAGACTAGGGAGAGAGGCGGCCTCTGGCCTCACCTTCCCACCCTCCACCCCCGCCCCCGAGACACTAGCCTTCAGTCCAGAGGGGAATTACATTTATTCACGCAACCAAAACATCAGACGGACTTGGAGCAGCAGCGGCGGGGAGGGCGGGTGGGCAGGGCTAGTAGTCGGTTCCCAGCCTCTAGATCCCTCAGTCCTGGGGCGGGGGAGTGCCATGTTGGGCGTCGGCAGTCTTAATCTCTCTTCTTGCCCGCCCACCCTTCTTTTCTTCTAATTGGGAAGGAGGGTGGGCTGTCTCTCCGGTCACAACCTTAGCAGGTTTGCCTTTTCTTGCAAGGTAGAGGCCTGAGTCCTCAGACCCCGCCTAGTGGCTTGACTCCTAGGGGTGTCCCCACAGCTCATTCTGGAGACTCCTAGCCACCCCCTGAGATCTGAGGAGTGGGGTATTCGTTGGTGGCTGGGATCCTCTCACTGCCTCAAGCTCCCACGTACTTGGGGAGGGAGTTCAGTGACCATCCTACCTTGCCTTTTTTCTATTCTCAGGGTTTGAGTACTTTCACCCCCTCCATTTCCCACGGCTGCTGGTCAAGCGGGATAAATATTGAGATTTCTTCTGTGTCTTCCAGTCTCTGCTGCCCCTGCCAAGCAGGGTTGAGGGCAGGCAGTGGGCTGCCCAGGTTTGAGCCCCAGGAGCGCAGAGGGGCCAGTTAGGAGTTCAGGTCTCACTCAGCAAGTGTGTGTTGGAGGTCTGGACCTTTGCTCCTCCATTCGTCCCCCACCCTGAACCCTCAGCAGCAACTCCAGGAGCTCCTGTCCTCCTGGGGGGAGGGGAGGCTCTGACCGCTGGGCTTCCATCCGCTGGCACTGGAGGAGTGGAGGAAGAAGAAGGGTGTTAGTGTGGCTCTGAGGGGAGTGGACATTTAAGAAGAGCCAGGGCTATGTGGGGATACAGGATGCCTATGATGAGGATGGGAGGATTAGGGGCTGGCAATGGAGCAGTTGCCTGGGGAGAAGGAGGGATAGGGCCTGAAAGAGAACGGGGACAGGGAGCCAGGTGGTCTGGGTCTTGCCTCCTGGGGGTGTCTCACCTGGTGACTGAGGATGGTGCTGTAGAGCTGTTCTCTGTCCTCAACAGGCCGGGGTGGGGCTGGGGCTCGTTTTTTGGGACTCTGGGGGACACAGAAAGTGGCCCTCTGCTCCTCCAGGCGACGGGACTGGACCTCAGCCACTAGGTCCAGAAGGCGTTCTGTCTGCAGGGAGAGCAGGGAGGCCGAGCGGGGCCCAAGGGCTGGGGAGAGGAGGGGGAGGGCTCAGAAACCCAGAGAAATTGGCAGACGGGTGGAGGGGAATAGGGTGAGGTGATTAGGGATTTGGGGTTAGAGCTGAGGGGGTGTGATGAGGAGTCTGGAGGAGGGGAGGGGAAGGGCCACAATGGAGTGGGTCTTGGTAATGGGATCAGGAAAGATGGGCACCAGGGTCGGCAGCTCCCTGGGTGGGTGGAGGTACCTGTGTGGCGGTTCCCTGGAGGAGGGGATGGAGGAGCAGATCGCCAAGGCCGAGTTGTGGTGTTCAGAGGGGGCCAGCCCTGTTCATCCTGGGAAGGGCCCTGATGCCGGGAGATGTCCGTTCCAGTCAAGCAGGGGTGGGTGGAGGAGGTGGAGTGGGCAGGGGGGCTAGGCGAACAGCCTGTTTCCTCTCTGTATCTCCCTTCCTGCCTCAGTGTGCCCAAACCCTCTTAAGTCTCCTGAGTTCTCTGTTGCTGGGTCTCTGCCTGGGTCCTCTCCCCTCCCTCTCTCCCAGTGTCAGCCTCCCCTCTCAGTGCCCGGCTCACCTGCTCACCATCCTCTTCTCCTTCCTGGGCTCTTTTGGCCTCCATCCCCTGGAGGGGAGAAACTGATGGGGGAGGGGTGGCTGGGATTTGGGAAGAGGGCTGGAACCCTGGATTCCAGGGGGGGTGTGGGGGCTGGAAGGGGTGGGGGCCAGCTGGGGGCCAGATGCTTGGGTTCTGAGCAGGAAGCTGGGTTCCTGGTCAGCCCCCCCACGGGCCCCGCCCATCCCTGTCAACTTCCTCCAGTTCTCTTTTCCCTACCCAAACTATTTGTCAACCTCTCTAGCCCCAGGGGAGCACAGAGACCAGGAAAAGCTCCTCTAGCTGCAGGAGTTGGAGGGGGGCTCTGGGTGGGGAAGGACTCCTGGTCTTCTTATCCTCACAGTCTCAGACCCCCATAACCCCCGGCTTTGTTTCCTCCACCCCTACCTCCCCTTCAGCTCTTTCTGTCAACACAGGAACTAGCTACACAGGAAGTGGTTTCGCTCCTCAGAACCCCCCAGCCTCCCCCCACCCCCGTCCTTTCCTTCTCCAAGATAGACCCTGATGTAGGATTCAGCCCTCCCCACACATCCTCAGACCTATTGGGACTAGAAGGGGTGCTGTCCCAGTGGGAAGCGGAGAACGCAGACCCAGGAGTGTTTTGCCCTCAAGTGTATCTGTATACCCCTAGCATCTTGTCCAACACACAGTAAATATTCAGTAAATATTGCATGGAAACCCTGGCTGCATACTGGTTAAGAGCTAACCAAAAGGCTGGCAGTTTGAATCCACCAGGTGCTCCTTGGAAACTCTATGGGGGGGTTCTACTCTGTCCTATAGGGTCACTATGAGTCGAAATCAACTTGATGGCAACGGGTAAACGTTGCATATTTACTGAATATTCAATAAATATGTGTTGAATAATTATCCCTGCCCTCAAGGTGCTTACAGGGGACAAGACGTGCATCAAATATAAGAAAATGGGATGGCGTTCACTCTGGCAACTCACAATTTTGCACAGACAAGGGGCAGGGGAGACATTCCTCTGGTCATGAACGAGGGACATAGAAATGGAAAAGGGAGCGGACCACCTCCCTGCTCCTTCCTTGATTAATGCTGATCAGGGTGGCTGTCACCAAGGTGGGAGCAGGACAGGTAGAGACATTTGGGGCCTCTAAATAGAGCCCTGTGGTGCAGTGGTTAAGAACTTGACTGCTAACCAAAAGGTTGGCAGGTCGAATCCACCAGCCACTGCTTGGAAACCTTGTGGGGCTGTTCTACTTAGTCCTATGGGATCGCTATGAGTCGGAATCGACTCAACGGCTATTTTTTTTTTTTTCTTAAATGACAACCTGCCATGTTAGGGGGCTTACAGTGAGTGACTTAGAGCATAAGGAAGATCTGGTTCTACCACTTACTGCTGTACAACCTTGGGCAAAGTACACCTCTCTGTGCATCAGTTTCTAAAAGAGGATAATAGGGTTTTAATAGCCTCTACCTCATAGAGTTGATGTGAGGATTAAATGTTAAAGCGCTTGGCATATAGTGAGTGCTCAGTAAATGGTAGCTATTATTAACTTTGAAATGCTTTACACCTCTGTGTGTTAGACCCATCACTATTAGAGTAACCAGGTTACTGAAAGGTGGATAAAGTTTCCTTAAGATGCCCTCTCCATCTCTCTCTATTTAACTTGAGGCCTTAGAAATCTCCTCAGTGGTCATCACTAAATGCCTTTGGGTGAAGGACAAACAGTGGGTAATTCCTAGTGTGTATGTGGGTTCTCCCTGCAGTACTAGAGACTCAGCTGGTACCCTAAATTAATATTAAAACAACAAACCCATTGCCATCAAGTCTATTTCCACTCATAGCGACCCTATATGAGTAAATTAACATAGGATTCCTAAATCTATTTATTCTTGCTCTTTAACTATACTAAAAGCCTCTATCCAAATGTTGAGCCTAGGGCACAAAAATTCCAGTCATTCCCATATTTTTTCTCCTTTTGCTCCCAACCCCTCCAAAAAAAGGTCACACTTCAAATCAGCTTTATTGCAGGGTGACAGATTTGAGGGGTCTTAAATAGACAGTGATGGCTAGGAGAGTGGTGCTTCATCCCTGCGGTGGAGTTTTTTTTTTTTTTGGTGGGGGGGAGATGGGGAGAATGCAAAGGGTCATCAGCTGGAGTTGGCCTTGGGCCCCCCTTTGGCACCTACAGGGCCTGGAACATAGTAGGTGTCAGCCGTTTGTGGGCAGAGAGGGTGAGGCGTGATAGAGGCTTCCTTTGGGAACCATATATAAGAAAGAACATCTTACATTCATTTGCCTGCAGTTCTTGGTTCCAGTTTAGAGGACTTCTCCCACTCCATTCTGCCCTCCTGTAGCCCCTCGCCCTTATTTTTCTGGGAGAGAGGCTAGGACCGCTTCACCCCAGCACCCTAAACACTCTTTCTAGAGCTGAGGCTTCTGCACGTGGAAGACGGTATCTGTTCTGGTGAGCACACACTCATTTTGGGAGGGAAACTAAGCTCATGACCTCAGTTTTGGGGCTCCAGAACCTCAAAATCTGTAGGGCCTTCCGGACTGCCTGTCATTTAATGAGTACTCATTTTAAGACGTTCCCCCTCCCCCCATATAACCTTCTATTTTTGGCCCTCGCCTCCGGAATTAAGGGCTTGGGGACCCGAGGCAGGTTGAGGGGAACCCCGCTCCGGGGACGGAGTAAGGCAAGGAGGTGGGATCGTAGTGTTGGGGGCAGGACCACAGGCTCCCAGAGCCACCCAATCACAGGGCCAGTCAGCCGCCGAGGCTCCACCCCCGCGCCGGGCCGCAACCCCAGATCTTCCCCGCATTATCGCAGGGCTGGGCCGAGGCCTGCGCATGCCCGCAGAAAATCTACGACCGCGGTGGGGCGGGACTCTTCCTGTTCCTCCTCCCGTTAGACTCCGGCAATGGGAATAGGCCCCGCCCCCGTACGAGGCCAAGTCAACGGACAAAGTCCGGGCTTGCAGACAAGCCCCGCCCCCTCGAGGGCCTGCTCCCGCAGACATCGTCCGGGTGCGCGGCAGAGCCCCGCCTCCACGCGGGATCCGCGCGCACGAGAATGCGCCAGCTCCGCGGCCCGGCGCGGCTTTGTGACGGGCCTCCGGTGGCCCCGCCCCTTCCAGCAGCGTCAGCAGATCCCAGTGGTTGCGTTGGCGGGCGATGTCACCGGGCGCTAGCCCGGCCTGGTCCCGCAGCTCTCGGGCCGCCCCTACCGCCAGCAGCAACTGGGCTACCTCCACTGCCCCTTCTCGGGCCGCCAGGAACAGTGGCGTCTGCTCCTGCATGGGAAGAAACACCCAGGGAAGAGAGGCCGGGGGGGCCGCGCTCACAGGACTGCCCCTTCGTGACTCCACCTATTTCGCGGCCGGCCCCGCCCCTTCGCGTTTTGTACAGTTCCCGCGCTTTCCATCTCCCACGCCCACTTTTTTGTAGGGAACGCGACGCCCCAGTCTAACCCTGCTGTCCTGGGCGTCTTTATCGGCTCCGGCCTGCAGAAGTGAGCGGGCGGCCCGAGCGTTGTTCACGGCTGCGGCCCAGTGCAGCGCAGTTTTTCCTGGGGGACGACGTGGGAAGTTGTTACCCCGGAGCTGGGGACCAACGCCTGGGTTCCGGTTTCCCACGGATTCTGGCCTTGGGGGTAGGGCTACTCGGGCCAGCCGGGTCCCTCAAAGGCGGGAAGCGTTGCCCTGGCGACCGCCGGCCGGCAGGAAGCGTTGCCCCTGGTGACGTCACTGGCGCGCGGGCGGGACAATAGGGCATTGTTCTGGGGTCGGTGGGACCGGGAGACCACCTCCTCCTACACCTCGGCCCTCTCCCTTCCCGCAGAATCTTTCCTCATCCCAAATCCCTGTGGGCTGCAGTAATGTGTGTGGTTTAAGATGGTGGGGGAGGGGGAGAGCCTCGCGTTCCATACTGCTACTGCGGCAGACTTAGCAGGGTGGGAAGCAATGCCTCACCCTCCAGTCTGCCCCTCTGCTGCTCCTTGTTTTTGCACCTCACCTCACATTCCATCTGCTCAACTTCTTTATAGCACAACATCATCTTCTCCAGATGCATACCCCATTTGTCTCTGGCCCCCACGTCTGCTCGGGCTGCAATCAGTTCTTCAACCAGGTCCTCCACCGCTAGCCTGGCGGCAAGCATCAGGGGTGTGGTCCCATCCTCTGTGCGCGCATCCACTGCAGTCTGTCTGCTCCGGAGCAGGAGCTGGAAGGCCAGAGAGGGCCAATGACCCCTGGGGTACTCTGGACTGCTCGCTTAGGTCCCACACATTTTTAACCCCCTAACAATCCATATCCAGGAGTTCCCTGGGTGGCACATACAGTTAAGTACTCAGCTGCTAACCGAAGGATTGGCAGTTTGAGTTCACCCTGAAGCACCTCAGAAGAAAGACCTGGCTGTCTACTTCTGAAAAAAATCAGCCATTGAAACCCTTATGGAACACAGTTCTACTCTGACACATGTGGGGTCGCCATGAGTAGGAATTGGCTTGAGGCAACTGGGTAATCCATATCTAGCCATCTGTCCTTGTTTTTCTTTCTCTCAGGTCCTCAAGCTCAAATCAACTTCTTTGCCAAACCCTAGGGGATACCTTTTCCTAGCTTTACTTGAAAGCTCTCCCCCTATTCCCTTCAGGGACTCCAGTGTTTGCTGACCTGGCAGACCTCTCGAGCATCAGCAGCCACAGCAGCGTGAAGGGGGGTGCGCCCTGCCCGGTCTGGTTGGTTGGGGTTGGCTCCAGCCTCAAGTAGGTGACGGACAGCGGTTGGCCGGCAAAATCGGGCAGCCAGGTGCAGGGGGGTCTCGCCGGTGCCCACTGTGTGAGCCTGGGGGCTGGCCCCTCCACCCAGCAGAGGTTCCCATGGCTCAGGGCCTCCCAACCATGCCTCTTGGAAGGTCTTGGACTCTACTCCCCCACAGCAAACTGCTGACATCAAGGGTGTAACTCCGTCTGTGGGTGAGAGACATGAGGAATAGGAGGCAGGTCAATCAAAAGGACACAACTGGGGGTAGGGGAGAAAATGGAGGCTCAGAAAAGGAGAATCACAGCTGGAGGCTTCAGGAAGCCCAGCTCTGGCTCTTGATTTTGTGTGGTTTTAGTCAAGTGACTTGTATTTTTCTCTGGGCTTTAGTTTCCTCACCTGTAAAAGGAGCCAGCAGGCCTTAATTCTCTTACATTTTAGGGCTGTAGTTGTCAAACTTGAGCCTGGATCAGACTCACCTTGAGGGCTTGTTAAAACAAGCTGGGCTCATTGTCTTGAATTTCTGAATCAGTATCTCTGGGGTGGGGCCTGAGAATTGGCATTTCTAAGAAATTCCAAGGTGATGCTGATTCTGCTGGTCCGGGGACCACACTTTGAGAACCACAGTTCTAAGGCAATAACTCTAACATTAGTTCCTCCAGTTCTGACATTGAAGGCTTTTCTGATCCTAGAAAGGGTCAAAGGAGGTGTTCGTTTTCTTGCTTTGTGCAGGCTCACGTACCAGGTCCACAGGTGTCCACATCAGGGGTCTCCATCTCGGACTCCTGGGGGGGAGTCAGCATGGCTGTCTGGGGGAGCTCTCCACAGTCTCCAGTCAGAGTCCAGAGCTGGCACATGGAAGTTGGGGTCATTTTTTCAGCCTTGGGAATCAGAGCAAGGATCAGCGACGGTGGTTGACTCATCCTTCATCCTCTCCACCACCCATTCCCATCCCAGCGCTTTCACCTGGCCCACCTCCTCTCCCTCCTCAGGGCCTGAGCACATCGCAACTCCATCCTCATCAACTTCTGCTTCTGGCTTCAGAGCCCTGGAGGGATGTGGGTAAGTAGAGGTTACACGGGGTTATGACCCTCAGGATCCCCAAGATTTCCAGCAGCCTTCCTCCCCACTTCCCCTATCTCTTATTGTTTCTGATCATAAATATCTCCATAGGAAAGACTTCTCCCCAAGCCCTGGTTCCTCCTCACTCTCACTTGAGGCGAATGCTGTCCTCGCCCAGGGGGGGCCGGCGTCGGCAGGGGGCCCTTTGAGTTCGGGGCCGTCGTGTGAAACCAGGGGGCAGCCAGAGGGCCCCGTGTTCTCGGCGTCGACGCCGGATGAGCTGGAGGACAAGAAGAGCCCCGAGGGCCAGGAGAAGCACCCCAGCCACTGGAGAGCACAGCACAGGCCAGGGGAGCTGGTTAGCCGGGGCCGCTGGTGGGAGAGACACAGTCACAGAGAGGCCATTCCTGGTGAGGCTGGTTATTACTGTGGAACCTGTGGGCAAGGGCAGTAACCTCTCTGCCTTAATTTTCTCATCTGTAAAATGGGGATAATAAGGGTACTGCCTCATGGGGTTATTGGGAGGACTAAATGAGTTAATAATGTAAAAGCGCTTAGAGCCAGGCATGGCACATAGTAAGCACAATATAAGTGTTGTCTGTTATTCTTTCATGTACTATGAACTTTGATACACAGATGATTGGATACTCTCTCTAGCAGAGGAGATAAACTAGAGCCCAAGGTTTGTGGGATGGCTATGAGAGAGGTTAGGATAAGGTGCTTAGGGAGGTAAGGAAAGAGACTGCAGAGCAAATGGGCCATGAAGAGATCCAGTTAGAGAAAGAGGGGTCAACGAGGGTGAGGCCACACAAGGAACACTTGACCTCCATTGCCATTTGCTGGCATGAGAGCTAACCTGGGAGCAAAAGGCAGGGGCCACCTACCAGTGCCTGCACGAGGGTGCGCAGCTAGGAGGGGTCCAGGCAGCAGGGGCTCCAGAGCCCCCACCGCAGCCATGGCAGCGAGGAAACGGAGCAGAAGCCCAGGGTCCCAGGGACATCGGGATGCAGGGTGCTCAGGGCCACAGCGGGACAAATCCACACCCATCACCACCACAAACCTGTGGGGGAGACACCTCAGAGACCCCTGTGTTGGTCCCTGGTTCCCTTCCCTTCCTCTGCTCATTAAACTAGTGTCTGGCTCTCCCCTCTGCCCAGCCTTCTTACCCAGTGCTGAGAGAATCTGTCTTCTTGCCGAGGGGAAGTGTTGGAGGGGCTACTGCCTCCTGCTGAGAGGGGTCCCAGGTTCCTCCCAGCTCTTCTTCGGCCTTGGGCCCAGGATAGGGGTACACCATGTCCATACCATCACTATCCTTCCTCACCCAGAGCCCTACCCTCAGGATCAGGGACAGCACCCGGGCCAGGGCAAGCAGCTGCTGGTCCAGGGCTTGGGGGCTCAGCACCACCAGCAGGGCCAGGGAGGGTCCCCACTGTGAGTCCCCAGCTTCGGGCCTGCAGTCGCCTCCATCCCAGCCACACTCGGCAGTGTTGCAGCCTTTTTCGCAGTGCCCATTGTGGAAGTGATCGTGGCAGTACTGGTCATAGGCTGGGCTGTGGGGCAAGGAGAGGGGCACTCAGGACTCCAAAGAAGCCCGACTTCCCTCTCTGCCCAGAGAGAGTTGCTGATATCCACTGCCTCTAGGGTTCGGGGTACAGCAATGGGCTTAGTCAGGTCCCGGATGGCAGTGCAGACGCCTGAATGTCTACTGACATGCTTGTGTCCTAACATCATCCTTCACCCTACCTCCTATGCTCTCCTGGCTTCCTGCCACCCTATCCTTCCGTGCTCCCCTGGTTCCCCAGGGGACTCTCCCCTAAAGGAGGGTCCAGGCCCTTTTCCCTCAGGGGCTCTGGTTGCTAGGGGAGATGCTTCATGGCAACAGGGCTTAGGAAGGGTTGCTTGAGGACTGTGTTCCCACAACTCTCAGACAGGGTCCCAGAGGCTGTACCCTCTTTCTTAGTCCCTACATTAAATATTGATCCCCCCCATCTGCCCCGCCATCCCCTGGGTTGGACGTCAGAGCATTCTACCCCTAATTAGCAATGGTTATTAGGGCAGAAGACTCCCTGGCAGCAGGGCTCATGGGGTATGAGGCTTTGGCCACACTGTAGCTCAGAGGCATCTGTGTCCTTCCACCCCTACTTCAGTCAGGGTTTCAGGCTCACCTGCAGGCTGGACGAGTCTCACAGTCGTAGCCATCAAACAGACACTCTTCAGAGTCACACTGTGGGTGGCACTGCCCATCTCGGAAGAGCAGCCAGCACCGGGAGTGGGAGGGGCAGCCCCTCCAGGGGTCTGGGATCCCCAGGGAGCAGTCCCCTCCATCCCAGTTTCCCCCTGGGCCACTGCAGCCAGGGTCGCAGGCCCCGTCTCCACCTCTGCCCTCACACCCTTTGGCTCCTGGCCTCTGACACCGGGGCCCTGGAGAGCTGGGAGGGCAGGAGCATCGAAAGCCTGGGCCCCCCAACCCGGGGGTCTCTGAGCAGCTGCCATTGTGTAGGCATGGGGAGGGGGGGCCACAGCCTTGAGGAGCTGGAGGGGTTAGGCAGTCAGGGCCCCCGTAGCCACTGAGGCAGGCACAGCGAGGTGGGAAGCCGGGCTTAGGGGAGGGCAGACACAGGCCTCCGTGGTGGCAGTGATGAACGCCGCAGGAGGGGGCTCTGTGGCTGCAGGTGGGGCCTTCAAAACCCTGCGGAGGGGAGGAGAAAGATTGGGGAAGGACATTTTATTACTCCTCCACTTCTCAAGCAAAGTCCTGGGTTACCTTTGATCTGAGGGCCATATCTGGAAGGGGCTTCAAAAAGCATCAAGTTCATCATTTTACAGATTTTGAAACCATGTCTCATGGTAATTTCACACAATGACATATTACATAGTAATGAAAATGGATGCACCACAGTTGTGGGCAACAACCTGAATGAATTATATCATCGTAATACAAGTCCTAGAGGACTACAAAGAGCTTGCAACTGTTAATAAGGTTTAAAATGAACTAATATTATTTAGGATATATACAGGTAGTCCCCGTCTTATGATGTATTCGAGTTATAATGAACTGCACTTAACGACCGTCCAGTTTTTTGTTTTTGTTTTGGTACATCTTATTGTTAGTAATATGTACTACATTCAATGCTGCAGTGCTTAATTTACTGATGTTATCTTCTTAGATGTTCACTCACAGATGTTTATATGTAATGTTTTCAATCCCCAAAGACAAAGATCAGATTTATAAAAATACTGATAATAAAAGGCAATAATAATGAAAACTAAAAAAAATGAGGTATTCAACTTAATCAGAACTGACTTATGACAGAGTTGTTGGAATGGAGCCCCTTTGTAAATCAGAGATTACCTATATATATATATACACACATATATACATCTATAACCCAAACCCACCTATTGCCTTCAAGTCAATTCTGACTCATAGCGACCTTATAGGACAGGGTAGAACTGCCTCATATGGTTTCCAAGGCTATAAATCATTATGGAAGCAGGCTGCCACATCTTTCTCCTATGGAGCAGCTGGTGGGGTTGAATGACTGACCTTTTAGTTAGCAGCCCTTTAACCACTGCACCACTAGGGCTCCTATATACATATATACATATGCAATATATATGTATATATTCAGGAAGGAGCCCTAGTAGCACAACAGCAAAGTGCTGGACAGCTAACCAAAAGGTCAGCAGTTTGAACCCACCCAGCAGCCCCACAGGAGAAAGACCTGGTGATCGGCTTCTGGAAAGATTACAGCCAAGAAAACCCTATGGGGCAATTCTGCTCTGTCACAGGGAATCAGTATGAGTTGAAATTTAATTGATGGCATCTAACAACAACATATATTCAGGAAAAATTAAATACATATATTCCTGAATACATACATGGAGCCCTGGTGGTACAGTGGTTAGGAACTTGGCTGTTAAACAAAAGGTCGACAGTTTGAATCCACCAGCTGCTCCTTGGAAACCCTATGGAGCAGTTCTACTCTGTCCTATAGGGTTGCTGTGAGATGGAACAGACTTATCCACAATGGGTTTTGAATACACACACACAC